GCCACATCACAGTATTGTTAAACAGATATATGTGGCTTTTTATAGGGAGAACTCTCGCTAGGTGAAAACCCACACGTCCTGGAACAGTGCTGCCGAACTATTCACTGGAACGGAACACACCCGAACCACCCAACTGGCACCACGAGGTTGTTCGGCAAGTCTCCTATGTTTTAAGGCATGCAACACCCAATTCCCATATCCTTGCATTTTGATATCTTCACTCGTAGCAAAGTGATTCGGACGAAGATGTGAGGTTGTCTAGGAGTTCTTCTAGTTTGCCTGAATACTCTATGCTTGGAGGATGGACGCCAAGGATTACCTCGTAGGCATACTTCAGCGTTTTGGTTTCTTCAGGGAGACAGAAATTAAGTAACATAAGTGGAACAGAAATGGGGACAAAATGGCTCCCTGAAAAACACCAGAATTCGTGGTGAGTGAAGAAAAGGTTTTCCCGGATACCTGGTAAACTAGGCACACCTGGTAAAATACTATTACAACAGAAGAACAACAGAAATTTGAACTCCAGAACTTGATACATGGCGTAGCAGGAGTTTACGTTTATAGCAATCGAAAGCATTGCTAAAATCCAGGATGCAGATAGGGATGTATTGTAGTACCGTATATGCCACATAGGCTACTGCACTATGCAAACTGATGAGGATCATCCGAATGCGTCTGGGCTGAAGTTCTTTTTAGAATAATCTTCTCAATGGTATTCCAAGCAACCGACGTGCAGGATGTTGGCCGATACTTGCAACTTTCTTACTTTGGAGCCGGCGTGCTTCTTGCAATTCGCCGACTGTCAGCTGTGTTTTGCTGCTTGAAGTACAGTGTGTTCAAGTCGGCGAGTGGTTGTTTCACTCCTAGAAAAGAGAACTTATTCGGACCACGCGCCTTCTTCATTTGCAACCCGATTAATACCCTGCGCACTTATATGCTGTTCACAGAAGTGGGTTATCTGAGAGTAGTTGTAACAGTATAGGATATATCAAAGTATGAAGTACCATCCTGGCCACAAAAATTGAGGTTTAGTTCTCCCACATTCGGAGTTGAATACGTGACCTCGCGGGTGACTCAGCTTAGCTACTTTGAACGTAGATATCATAGATGCGACGTAATTCAATTTTTACTTCAATCGAGAGACGTTTCCGATGAAATTTTTTTAGCGTTTAGAAGCCTTTTCTCTAAGCCTACGCAGTCGTTTGAGAATCTATCGACCGGATGGAAGTTCTTTCAGTGCGACGGTAGATGCCAGTGCAGATATTTAAGTAGCTAGTTAACTGGCCACAATACTTCTACATTTTAACGTAAACTGAAATTTGTATAGAGTGGTTTCACGCAGTCGCTGCACTTTCGATCTTCGCAACAAATGAGATCTATAGAAAACTAGAGGCGACTTTATCAATGCGTGATCATAGCTTCTAAGCGACGCCTGATTACATAACGAAAACAGTTTCAAATTGTTAATAAACGCCAAGTCAAGCGTTGCATTTAACTTGGTTTTGGATTGCACTATGTTATTAAGGCCGATTCCAAATCTAGTGTCAGATCGGTTGTAATCGCTAGCAACTACGCAGAATGAGAGTTCCAGGTAGTCAAGGACCGCAGTTGTTTTTCGTTTGTTAACTTATTCGGTTTTGGAGATGGGATAGTTGAGAAATATAGATGCTTACCAATAAAATCGAAAGCTAACTGTTCATGAGTCTTGCTTTACATTGAATGGTTAAACAAGGGATGCGTTGCGAACTCTAGCGAAAAATGTTTGTAATCGACGTACATCATGAAAATTATTGTAATTGATAACGCCACCACCGCGGTTGCTCTACGTATATTGTTAGTTAGCACGATAAGGGCTAAATCGCTCGAGTTCCACGACTTTCTTTAACATAGACGTGAAGCCAGGTTTCCGGCCGCATCACGATGCTCACGCGTGAATATTCACGATATTCTATCACACTTTTCTGGTATCCTAATTTTCCAGCTAGCAATCGGATGTTGACAATGAGTAAAATAGGTAGGCTCATATTTTCGAGATTTTTCATCCAAACTGGAAGCTGCGTCTTTATTTTCTTTTGAATAGGTTCACCATGAAACAATCCAATTCATATGCATGAACGCACGCAAAAATTTCAAAGTATCGCGAGTGTAAACAATCGCGCAGCTAGATGCAGAATAAAATATCGAAATTTTGAACAAAGTGTTTAATGCAGTGCAGAAAAACATGTGTTAGTAAATCCTCTGCATAAGAATTATATAGCATAGCCAATGTTGGACTCCTGTCGGCAATTTGGGCACATCCGTTTACTGAGATGAGTGAAGAGGGAGAATCCCGCCCTTCGCTTTCCGGAGTTTGTTCACATGTCCTTATAAAATTTTGTTGGAGTACAACCTTTCCGGTAGGCTCGGTTAATGTGCTTGGACAACGAAGTAAATCCTGGCAGTTTGCATGGTAACTTCTACTTTTGCACATTGTTTGTTGGATTCGCATGGTTGGCGGCATCCGGTTTCATATTTGCCTGTCACTGTGGCCAGCCACAGGACGCCTGCGCCTACAGAGGGACTATGGGTGGCTTGCGCTTAACCACCCACAGCTCCAACCTCACACCCCATATCAAGTGTAAACCCGAAGGAATAAGATCGGGAGGCGTGTGGTTGGGAGCCACATTTTTTCAACGGAGCCGGCCCACACTCCTTCGCAGGCAAACACAAGCACGCTGTAGTTGGGGGATCAGGCTCACACAAGGTAGTGGTTGGCCCGTGGACCGCTTCACACTAAGTGCATGGAACCACTCTTCGAGCCTAGCACGACCACAAGGACCATGCACCCCGTCCCTCCAGCAACGAACAACTGTCTCCTGGAGCCAGTATGGACGAGGTAGTGGGTAATAGGCAGGTAGGCACCTTGTCAACATGCACATCAAGCGCAGCCACACCGGGGATATCAAGCAACAACCAACCACTTGGAACGACGATATAAAATAAAATAAATCGGATAATGCATACAGATACGGTGTCAACTTCACTTAATGGGCGTATAAAAGAAATTGATCACCAACGAATCCGCGATAAGTTCAAGACGTCAAAAAATATATTTTAAACAAATACCACAAAAGCGAACTTGTTACCGAAATCAACTACAACTAACTTCAGCGACGTGTACAAGTTTATAGATGATATAGCTAGACATTAATATGGGAAAGAAAAGTACTGGGACAAAATTGCAAACCCACCACCCAAACTAAAGAGAAGTAGCATGCAAACACGCGGTTCGTCAACCGAATGCAGCGTACCTACAGACGTTGCGCCGCTTCTGCCTACCATCTCTGCAGGACCCGTCGTAGCTTCGGTGCTGGTCCCGAGTGGTCTCGCTCTTGGTTCACTAGGCCTGCCTGGCTCAGGCACTCGCGACCACATATCCTACGGCACCATACGCTCGATGTCGATGGAGTACAACCCATCGGTGCTTGCCGCTTCTCTGCATGCATGTGGTCTTTCTCTCACACTTTGGCAACTGCCTTCGTGATCAGATGACGCCATGCACGCCGATCAACCGCCTTCGATTCCCATGACATACAATCAAGGTTAGACTATGAGAGGCTCACTTTGATCATGTCCTGGTAACAAAGCTTCGGTTTCCCCGCATGTCGCTTCCCAATACTCGGCTGACCATATACTAATTGTTTCGGTATCCGCGTCGAATCCATACGGCTCACATGACCGAGCTACCTCAGGTATTTCAGCAAACGTATGCAGTCCACTGCATACATTCCAATTCGGCGCAACACTTTCGTGTCCGCAACACTGTCGCCTCAATCGATGCGCAGAATCCGTCACAAACACTGTTGATGGAACTGCTCGAGATACCGCACACCTCGCCGGTACATCGTCCACGTTTCATTGCCGTATAGAAGAACGGACAGTACCATGGATTTGTACACCATCAGCTTCCTGCCTATGGTAAGCTGATGGTTGTTCCACACTCGGTGCTCTAGCTTCCCGAATGTCGCTGCTGCCTTCGAGACACGGATACGCAGCTCACTGTGTAGCTGCTGGTCAGTCGACATCACACTCCCAAGGTAGCAGAAGCGGGCGGTGGTTTCCAATACTTCAGCACCAATGCTGATTCGCGGCAATATTGAAGATTGCACCTCCGGTGAAGGCTGAAAGAGACAAACAGTTTTGCTTGTGTTGCTGGTGAGCCCCAATTTGGCCGCTGTCGAAGCCAGAGCACTAGTCATGTGCTGCAACTCATCCGCGCTGTGTGTACACAGCGCACGGTCGTCAGCAAACAGCAACATACGGATAGTTGTCTCACCGACTAGAGTTCTCGCAGCGAAACAACGGATGTTCTGCAACCCACCATCAATACGGTGCTCCACACGAACACCGTAAGCACAAGCGACATCAAAAGCACATGACCTCATTGCATGAAGATGAATATTAACCAGGGCAGGAGCTAAGACAGCCTTGCTTCACACCAGTGATAACTGCAAAGTCATCCGGATTCGCATACTTATGTAAATATTCGCATTCCCAATTCTGTAGATCACAATAGAGCCTCGGCTACTCTGAACCGTTAAAAGCTCACTTCTCTGTGACTGATTCCTTTTTTTACAACACAAATATATGACGGGATAATGAATCGTATCACATGCTTAGTATTTTGTGTACTTATGCGCAGCTCACGTTACATTTTATGCATTGTTTCACCGTTTTGGTATGGATCATTATGCATCCTCGGTAGTCTAACTGTGGGTCTCATTTCCCTTAATTGCAATATCCATCACACGTTCCCCGAGCTACTTATTAGTCACTGGATTATGTCTCCTTATGTTGTTTTTCGGTGGAATGACTGTTTTAAATTCTAACACGTATCCGTTCAGTGGTTACCGATGTCAAGAAAACTGGTAAGATACGTTTTTCACTATTTGGCCGCTATTTGCTATGTTTCTTACCTCGGCGCTATTGAACCCCGGTTGTTTTTTACGGCAACATTTTAGGCGCTTCCCCATTACAATCCTGACGTTACTAGAAACACGGTCCAGAAAAGCTTGGTGGTCCTGTCTCGTTTGGTAAGTGCCGTACAATTTTTTTATGGAGTTATCATGTCACCATCATCAATATACGTTAGCGAGAGTGAGAAACACACCTCAGCTAGTGAGCCGAAATACAAGATCAGATACCAAAAAGAATCTAAAATCAAATTATATTATGTCAAGTATTATATTATGCATTTCTTATGAGATCGTATTTAGAGGGGGAATCTAGACGGTGGGTGATGGACAAAGGAACTTACTACAAATGCCATTCAGCTCTGTTCTTCGCCATATCAGCAAGTGTGTCCAACTAAACATGTTTATCGTCCTTCGGACCTCAGCCCTGCCATAGGGCGACAGCAACCGACGCCAACTTCGAAGTGAGGGCCTTCATTTCTCTCGACCGAGTCATCGCTTGGCCTCACCTCTTCCTTTTCCAACCAAACCGCGGGTGTGCAAACAATGCACTTCGCGGGAGTCGGTGTGCTAGCATGCGCACACCGTGACCCAGCCATAGGAACCTGGTGCGTGATATAATGATGCTGAGCGATTCACGCGCTCTTCCTGCGGCGCCGAGCACGGTCGTTTTTCACGCAGTGCTCCCACCAGGCATGAGCTAAGCTGCGAAGGCCGCGCTGATCGAATCTACCTAGCCTCTTTATGCCTGTCTACCTGCTGGGCCAGGTTTCGCAGCCCTATTAGAGGGTTGTACGGACGTCTGCATTATAAACCCTGTCCTGCTGGCTCTTTGTCTAGCTACTAGACTGTTGAGAGTACATACATACATACAAACCCTGCCCTTCATGGCTAGAGTGATGTCGCGCCGGTGTAGTCGAGGGCGGAGATTAGCAAAGGCGGTTCAAGTTTTTGCTATACGGTCGTAACCACATCCCACTGTCGCTACCGTAGTTGCCCAGGTAGTTGAATTCCTGAACAATTTTATCTGATCTCCACCATTGGTCAGCGCAGCGGTGTGTCCCTGTCAATCTTGGGGAAGGACTTTACATTTCGATGGAGCAAAGCATAGACCAGAACAACTAACAGCCAGTGCTACTTTGTCCAATGCTGCTTGGCACATTTGGGCCATATCGTCCGCGTGCTCCAAGTCAAGAATTCGCTCACCAGGAAATAGCTCCACACCTTACAATTCGTGCCCAGCGAACTCCACTTCTATACGTTCGCTAATGGCGAATTACAGCGGTAAGGTAACAGCGGGCAACCTTGTCACACACAGCTGGAGATATTGAAGGGCGGCGAAAGTTTGCCATAAACATGTCAGCATTGCCATTGGAAAGCATTCTAAATGATTTCCGCACTTCCATGACATCACCCTTCGGACTTGTAATTATCCGAGGTCGTAGTATCTTTTCGCTTTCACACTATATCAGACGGTGCACATTAAAATTCGCGAAATTACTTTTGAACCAGATTGTCTCATGGAGTCTGGGTGTCATCCGCCCGGAAACGCTACACTTCGCGACCCGTATCCAACTGGCCTGATCTCATCAGGCGGTGACAAATGGCACGTGAATCCAGGGTCTTTGGGTTGTCAGCCGAAAGCTTTACCCCTTCGGCCATTGAGTTGCGTCGTGCATGGCTTGAGATTGCGCGTCGCAGTCCATCCACATAACGGATGCTTCAATACGCACTCGTTTTTTCGTTTTTTGTTTGTTTGTTACATTTGATATCAGTAACGACCTGTTCAGACTGCGTAGCCTCGCTGTCGCGGATGGAATTCACCCTAATACGATGTCATGATTTGTGTGCTTCCGCAATTCACTGAGCCACACTTCTCGCAGTGTTGCATCTTCCGGAACTAGAATGAAACGAGCTACTTTGGTCAAATCTTGAGTGCAGGGAAGCGAACGTCGCCGAACAAAGTGTAATAACACGATGAACACAAGACCCGGCAGCTCGGGGTGTGGATGAGAGGATTGTCCTGTTCTCCGAGCCGGGCATTTCGGTTGCAGACGTTTCGTTACCAAACTAGGCAACATCTTCAGTGCGGCTATTCAGTCCTGATTCGCGGTCTCGCAAACTAATGTCAGATCCGAGTGACTCGTGCCTAGTTTGGTAACGAAACGTCTGCAACCGAAATGCCCGGCTCGGAGAACAGGACAATCCTTTCACAAGACCCGGCGTTAAGGTAAAGCCACAATACTGCCACAATCACTACTTCCTTCCTACCACGGTCATTCACAGGTAAAGGTACATTTTGTTATATAGGACAAGGGAAAATAAAATACTTTAAGCTTGTGCAGATACAGGCAATATAAACAAGGTTTGGGTACAACAGGGACACATTTGAGCCCAGTGCGATGCCACTTTGGATCCGTTCTCTCGCCCAGAACTCGTATGTGAGATCAGACTACTTACCTTGAATAAGGCCAGGGGACCAGATTACCTTCCTCCAGCATTCTTCACATTCGGGAGATCTACGCTTGTGGATGATTTACACGAATTATTAGCGAAACAGTGGAAGCCATTGCAACCAGACTGTACGTTACCGTGGTGCTATGGTTTGATTACACTCGTGCCCCATTGTGATATGCTGCGTGGCACTTTCCAAGTGTTTTCAGAGTCATTCATACCGGACAACTCAATGGTTAGGGGTCATACTAACTCATTTGCACAATCCAATCCTCTTTGGACGTTAGAGAGAGGTCGATGGCCCTCTTCCTTTAAAACTTAACCATGAGTGACAACTGGTCTGCGGCTTATAAGCTCACAGCTCGGTTGGCCTAGAGCACGGGCGCCACGCATTATCTCTGACGGTGGGTGGGCACCTTCCGGTGCTCAATGGTTTGCTATCGTGCGCCTCAAACCAGGCAGCCCGTGGTCAAATTGGTACAAGCCCGCCAACGTCTACCTGCGACTGGCCGTGTCTGCAGGTGTATAACATACTACGGTCGTAGAATACGTGTACACTGTACTAAATCTTCGAAGGCTGTGTGCGGCAGGCCTGAAGCAGATCCCATTCGGTCTCTTCAATCACACTCCCGATCTAGACTTGCTCCCCACTGCCTTGTGTCTCAGGCTATTGAGCCAACGGCTCCGGGTGGGGTCCTCCAAACGAACCACCATGTACCCTATTGCTTTGTGAGTTAGATTGTTGAGTCAAAGGCTAGAGTCAGAACGTCTCGAACAAAACCCCTCTCTCTTAATCGCCGGATGGCTTGCCGAACTACCTCATAGTGCCCGCTGGGTGATTCGGGTGTATCCCGTTCCAGCGAACTGTTCGGCGGCAGTGTTCCAAGACGTGGTGGGATTTCGCTTAGCAAGCGTTCTCTCTATAGAAAACCACAAATGTTTGTTTAACAACACTGCGACCTGGCGGGTCTGACTCGCCACTAAGTTGAGTCACTGCCCTTTGCTTCACTTCGGTGGAGCATTGTACTCCAGTAAGTGTGCTGATTTCACGCGGAGAATTGTGTCCATGTTTGGTAATTGACCAGACGAAAGACGTCATCGATCCCCAATGGGCGCAATTCCCCGAATTCGCCCCGCTGTTTTGCTGGTAGGCTGTTTAACCAAAGGCTCTGGGTAGTTTCCTTTAAGACACCTCCCTGCTTCGGCTTGGGCACGCGGTTATATCGCACCCACTGACAAAACCGTGGATTGTTCATCCGCTTTAGCGCGCTCATTTATTTTAACTTCTGCTACTTACCTTATTCACACGCTACCTGTTCACTTGTTACCAGTCACTGTTATCCGTTATTAGCTGATTTTTGTTTTCACGATTCAACTTCTAATGGTTTCGTAAACACTCATAGAGCTCCTCCAGTGGCCCTCCTTCGGCCTTGGTCCTCGTTCCGTCTGCTGTGCCTTAATGTGCGTACACTCAAGCAGATTTGGCAGCAGGCTGGTCTTGGGGATCTTGGAATCCTTCGCCATCGATGTTTGCTGTCTCTCCGAAACACGCTTGCAAGATCCCCGTACTTTGATTGAGCTGTGATCACCCACCGACCACAGAGCCATATTTCCCTTGCTACTATTGGTGACAGAAGCAGTTGCAGCAGGTTTAGCTGGGGTTGGTATAGCTTTTAGCAACAAAGCCATGGTCGCACTGCTGGACTGGTTTCCGATTATTAGCCAAATGTGTGCAGTTCGCCTTCGGGTATCATGCAGGATCAGCAGATATCGCGAAGAGAGACGCAACTTGTTTGTGATCTCAGCTTACGCTCCAACTTACTGCAATTCCGACTCGGTCAATGGCTGATTTCCGCCGTGAACTACACCAGCTCTTGAGCGGAGCTTGTAAATCCGTGTTGGGGATCTCAACACACTGGTCGGTCGTTTATTAACGTGCGAAATTCATCTCGGTGATTATCATGCGCTAGGTAAGAGCCGCTCAGATAATATGAGATGTGGGAGAGACTTCTCACACACTGTGTAGATAATCGTTTATTTCTCTCCAGCACCAGCTTTCGGCACCCGAGAAGACGTTCCGTTACTTGACGACCCCCTTCTGCGTCTCAATCATGGCCTCAGATTGATCATATTGGAATCAGTTTCAGATGTTGGGGTTGCTTAAAAGGTTGCAGATACATCTGGCCCACATTTCTTAACTCAGACCGTGCTCTTGTCCGTGCGAGCATATGCATGAGTTTCGAAGGGTCACCGAAAACGAGGCACTTCAAGATGGGTACAGATAAACTATCTGCTCTCTCGATTCAGCAGAGCTATCAAACTTCCCTGGCCGATACGTTTAGCTGTGACCCTCCTCAAGACATTGATGAACACTGGACGTTTCTGTAGAGGACCATGATTCCTTCCTGGCAGTTAGTCTGTGGTCTTTCTCAGCAACCTGTGGAGGTCTGGGTTTCCACGCGATCCTGGGATCTATTTGAACGCCGTAGGAAAATCCCAGCAGGATCTAACCATAATGAATTGCGCCATACTGTCATTTAACCGCTCAAACAATGTCTACTAAGTGATCGTTAACCATGGTGGTCTCGGCGTGTTTCAGAACTGGAGGCTACTGCCCTCTCTGGATGTACTCATAATATCTTCTAGCTCATTAGATCCACTGACCT